GATAAAACAATATGCTGAGGCTGAAATGACCAGTATCCGTAGCTGTAGCGGCATCCACGTGGTGAATGCGAAGGCAGTCTTTCTCGTGAAATGTTCCTCATTATGGTCTTGACTGCACCAAATGTATTTTCAAGAAAAGACTGAAGGAAGTTTAAACAAAAAAAGCCTTCAACAGCGCAAGTGTTGAGAAAAACTGCGAATCGAAGTAGAAACGAAACGAGACCGCTGACTTTGTTGTGATAATACTTCATGTATGTAAAAGGAAATATAGCAACGGAAGTCACTTTATGGCAATATTTCGTTATTCCGTTGATTCATTTGCAGCTCTCTTTTACTAAGAAAACAAAAACGATATTGAGCTGGAACTGCAGGAAAATGCATTTTGGGGGTCAAAACTACATAAATGTTCTCTCTAAATGAGTAAACGTTACCTCTGAAGAAGGGGCGGGGTTGCTCCCCCCACTCCACAAGGCTGCCGATAGTGCTCCGGCTACTTTGCAATTTCCTCCTGCTACTTTTTTTCAATTTGAAAACCCTGCATACACGACATGTTGGAAACAATTCTTATCAACAGATACTGCAAAAGCCTTAGTCCTTGATTGGGAAACCAAACTGCAAGCTGTAAACAGCTACATCTACATAACACCCTCAGACAATGATTCTCTTGAAGAAGATAACAATGCAGACAATAAAAGAGAGGAGTGGATGCTCATGGCAGAGTTAAATATTCAAACAAATGATTTTTATGAGCAATCCACACTTGTACAACAGGCATCAGGTATATCAACATTTCACAACAAAGGAAATCAATGCAATGCCTTCGTGGATAAACAGAGACAAAAAACAGAAGTAGTTCTCACTCTTTACGCTCAACAAGAATTGTAGATACTTCAACTTTTAGTGAAATGCAGCGAGCAGCTTATGATATTGGTTTCAATCATTTTAGTAGCGTTGAACAACAAAATCCTTTACGTCTTCTTATTATGGGCATAGCAGGAACAGGAAAAAGTTATGTAATTGATTCCATAAGGAATTTGCTACAGACAAAATGTAGGGTCTTAGCTTACACAGGAAAAGCATCTTTCAATGTTAATGAAGTCACCCTACATTCATTGCTTAAATTACCTCTTGGCACAAAGAGAAACTGTGATTTAAAAGGGATACCTTTGCAAGTGCTTCAAACTAATCTCGAGAATGTTCAGTACTTAACAATTGATGAATACTCTTTTGTTGGCCAGAGTTTGTTAGGATGGATTGATAGTCATTGTAGACAGGCTACTGGACGGACAGACACCACTTTTGATGGTATTTCTATTCTTCTTGTGGGTGACATAGCTCAGTTACCACCTGCAGGTGATAAACCACTTTATCATTCTCTGCCAAAACCAGAAAAACAAATGCAAGGTCTTCTGCTGTGTCATGAGTTCAAGAAAGTTGTTAAATTGACTGCTAATCAGAGAGTTCAAGGAAGTGATATTGAGCAATCCAATTTTGCAGGACGCTATTGACCTGAGCTCGTTATGGCGACTCAACTATTTCAGACTGGCAGTCATTAATTTTTTCGAACTCCAGATAAGGTGAATAATGTTAATGATTTCAGACAACATTCAGTAAGACTTTGTTACCACATAGAAAAAGTTGCAGAATTAAACATGAGTAACCTTAAAAGTTTGAATCAACCGATAGCCATGACTAAGGCACGTCACTCTCTTGGTGCACAAACTCTTAGTGCTGATCACATGGGGGGCCTCGAGCCTGTTAGTTACTTGTCAAAAGGTACAAAAGTCATGTTAACTATGAATCTCTGGACTGACGTTGGTCTTTGCAATGGAGCTATAGGGACAGTACTTGACTTTGTTTATGTTGGGGGTTAGCAACCTCCATGTCTTCCTATATGTGTACTGGTTCAGTTTGATGAGGAATGCAAAGGACCTTCAGTTTCTTCTATGTTTCAACTATGTGTTCCAATTTGTCCCATTACCCAAGTTTCTGGAAGCTTAGGACAAAGATATGAAAGACAGCAATTGCCATTAAGATTAGCCTGGGCAATGAAAATTCTTAAATGCCAAGGTCTAACCCTCAGTAAAGCTTGGATTGATTTAGGGTCATCAGAGAGAACTCTTGGAATTACTTATGTTGCTTTAGGTAGGCTGAAGAAAATTCAAGATCTCATTATTGAACTAGTGACACTACAAAGATTGCAAGCTGTGAAAAAGTTGACTAATTTTAAAACTAGTACTACACTGCTCATAAAATGTTCCTTTCGTTAGAGATCAAAATAAAAAGATTTTGATCTCCTGTCCCTGTAGTAACTGGTGGCAAATAATGTGGGCAAACCTTTCAAATATCATCTTTTTTTTTTGGAGAACAACAAATGCTTTGCGCTAAGAAATAAAGCCTCAATAGTTAAAAATCCTTTTGCTATAGCGTATATATGGTTAACAGATATTTTTGGTACGTTGTTTTCAGATGTCCAACCAACTAAGTCATGTCAACAATAAATAATTATTTTAACGTTAAAAAAAACGTTTTAACCCCACATTTAATAAAACAGGAAGCATATTCCTGTTTTCTTCAGTGCAGAGGGTGGGGGGAGGTGACATGACAGTTGCTGCAGAATTGAGTATTGAAAAATTGGAATTGTCACATTTCATTCAATTCATTACCTGAAGCAGCCCTACATAATCTTCACACTAAAGTCTACTTAAGGTTTTCTGACCATATTTGGTTTCATAAAGATGGAAAATTGTATTAACTTGTTGAACATTAATATTTCACATTTCTTATCTCACTTTAATTTTTATTTCCCCTTTCTTAGATAATCACCGTGGCTACATTCAGAATTTAAGTCCCATTAAACGCTCACAAAATCAAAATCAGTGGTTCGATTTTGACCTCCACACCAGCCCATCCAAGTTGAGAAGAGTTGTGGGATTTAATATTGCAAGCCACTCCACATTACAAAAATATGAAGCATCAAAAACAGCTGTAACTCTTCAAAACAGTAACGAAAATGAAAATAATCAAATAATATTCAACCAACAATCCATGGTCAGGGTGGCGCCAACCTTTGACATTGATTTTGACTATCAGCCCATCCATCAATCTCAAAAGACTGCACCCTCAGCTCAGCCTGCAAAAAAGATCACACTTGAAGAGCTCCCCACACTTCCAGTCAATCAGATAGCGAACGTCACTGCTTCAATTTCACTGGGAAATGAAAATCCTAAACCAGTTCAACTGAAAACATCAAAGGAGATGACATCAGTGAAGGAAGATTGTGTTCTAGAAGATGAAACTGGAACTGCAACTATTCATGTATGTATTAACAAGATCAAAAGTGGCACCACATATGTGATTTAGAACCTTACTGTAAAACACTTCCAAGGAATCACCCATTTAGGAACAACACGTGCAACAACCTTTAAAGAGGCCGATCAGCAGCTGAAATCTCTAAATGGCCCTGTATTACTCCAAAATCCTGAGAAAGAAGCAAAAGTAGAAGGATTTACGATAATAAACAAACTAAGTATTTATATTACCTGCCAAGCATGCAAACGAAAAATTAACGAAATCTCCCAACAGAAATCACTCTTTGTAAAAACTGTGGAGTACGACAGAGGCAAGCAGAGTGAAACTACTTGTACATTTGGATGACAAAGATGTGTGGTTAACAGCATTTACAGATGTTCTGGAATCCCTATTCGCCACCCACCCGACTATCTCCCTACTAAGTGACTCGGATACCATTGAGGAACTGCTAAT